CAGGTTTCCACCCGGTTTCACAGGAGTCTATTGAACGTTGCCAGACTTAGCTCACAACTTCATTGCTGTTTTTCCCTTACTTCTCCTTATCATTGACTAACGTGGTCACCAGTCAGACCACATGCCTGTTTGTGTATTCCCCTTGAGTCTTAGTCTTGGAAGGGGCTTTGCCTTGAGGGGACCCTACCAGTTGCCTAACGGCTCCTAGGAACATGTAGTATTTAATTGAAAGAGGCTGCTTTAAGAAAATAAAAGAACAAATATTAATTGATAATCTCAAGTTAAACTTCAAACTTTTGGGAAGTTAAACTTAAAAGTAAAATACATTGGTTATTGATTTTGTTTAGAAGGAAGGAGATAAATAACTCATACTTGATCTGCTGAGAATTTTTCTGAGAACTAAGTATAAAGTGAGCCATGATGTGGTAATATAGGTTAAACACTGGACTGGTAACTACAACGTCGGTCATTCAAACCAGCCAGCCACTCTTGGAAACCCTGTACTGGGTTCGACTAGATGGAATCAGCTCGATGGCATACAACAACAAGAATTGTAAGGAAAATTCTTTTGTTTCGTTTTGTTTTGTTTTTTAAGAAAGTGTAAATTTAGTAACTTTTCGTTAGATGTTCAACTTTGATTCTCTTTTAGGTAAAGGGCAAAACAGTTCATTGTGCTGGTTTGTTGGTGTCAATTAAAAACATTCATGCATTTGTACATGCTTTTTAATCAAGCTGAAGAAGATCCTCTATTCCTGTTTTTTTCTCTCAAGAGTTTTTTTTGTGTGTCTTTTTTTTAACTTTATAGTGAATTGAATGAAGGTTTAAAGAGCAGATCATCAGTTTTACATTCAACAAATCATATCCTTTGTTTCATCTCAGTGATTGCCATCCCTTCAGAGTAATGTCACTTATTCCACTTCCAACCTGTGTTTCTTGTTTTCATTCCTACTTCTGCCCCAGCTTTTCTGAAATTTGTCCTTGGGTAAATGCTGCTTTGTAGATCTTGAATGGTTGACCATTCTGTGTTGTGCATACCTCACTAGTGCTATTGTCTTCCTATAAGCCTGTCTATTGCTTGGCTGAAAATTGAACCACTGGGGTGAGTTTAGTGGCAGCACTGAAAAGTGACCAAAGGCCATAGTCTTGGCCTTTCACCAGTCTCTACCTAGTAAGTTTGGTCTTTTTTTTCAGTTTTGTTCTACATTTGGTCCAGTCTATCCAGAACTTTCTAGTGTGATCTCTCTCAGAACAGCTGGTAGTAGTAGTTAGGTACTGTGTCATTCGTTGGGTCTTATGTTCATGGAGATTGATGTTCACATGTTTCATTAATCCATTTAACTCAGAAAGTGTCAATTTTCTTCATGCTGGAAACTATACCAATGGTATTTAAAATACCAGCAACAGCATCCACGGTGGACAGGTTTTAGCAGAGCTTCCAGACTAAGACTAGGAAGAAGGAGAAATAAACCATTTCTGAATGGTTAGCCAGTGAAAACTTAGACATAGCAATGGAATATTGTCTAATACAGTTACAGAAGATGAGTCCCTCAGGTTGGAAGGAATTCAAAGTACAGCTGAGAAAGAGCTACCTCAAAGTAGAGTTGATTTTAATGATGTGGGTGGAGCAAAGCTTTCAGTACCTTGGTTTGCTGATGTGTCGCAACTGTATAATCAGAGCATGAAATGTTCAAATTATTAATCTAGGAAAATTGGAATTTGTTACAAATGAAATGGAATGCATAAAGACCAATATCCAAGGGATTATGAGCTGAATTCATGTAGAATTACACAGTCATATATCTGGTTTCTATGCTGGGAACGACAAATCAAAGAGGAATAGCATCACATTCTGTCAAAAAAGAGCATTTCAAGATCTGTCTTGAAGTACATTGCTGTCCATGATAGGATACATACACCTACCAGAAACACCAGTTAATATTTCTGTTATTCAAATTCACACACCAACTACTAAAGCCAGTAATGATGAAATTGAAGAATTCTGCCTGGTGTGGCGCTGTAGGGTAAGCACTTGAACTCAAGGTCAGTTTGATCCACAAGGTCTGTGGTTCAAACTCACCAAGTCACTCCTTGGAAACCCTATGCAGGGTCACAAGTCAGAACTGACTTGATGACACTTAACAACAACCAACTTCTTAAATCTGAAATTGAATAAACATGCAATTGAAAATTGCTGGTTATTGGAATGTGAAAGTTTCAAACAAATAAGAAGGATCAGTAGTTGGAAAATATGGCCTTGATAGAAGTAATGCAGGAGATTACATGATAGAATTTTGTAAGACGATGAATGACTTATGAAAAAAAGCTTTTATTAATAGCATAAATGGTAACTATACACAGTGGACCTCACCAGATAGAATACCATGGAGAAGCTCTATATCACTAGTCAAAACAAGGCTGGAAGCCAACTGTGGACTGAAGCTGAAGAAAATTAAAACAAGTCCACAGGAGCCAAAATATGATCTTGAACATATCCCACCTGAATTCAGAGACCATCTCAAGAACAGACTTGATGCATTAGACACTAATGATTGAAGATGAGGAGAATTGTGGGGTGACATCCAGAACATCTTAAGTGAAATAAAACAAAAGGGCATTAAAATAGAAGCTATCAAAAATAATGTCAAAAGAGCTGCTGAAATTTGTTCTTGAAAATAGAGAAGCTAAGGAGCCTGGAAGAAATGAGGAAGTAAAACACTGAACTGAAAAATTCAAAGGTCAGCTCTAGAAGACAAAATAAAGTATTATAATGAAAGTAAAATATTATAATGAAATGTGCAAGCACCTGGGGTTAGAAAACCAAAAGAGAAGAACACATTCATAATATCTCAAGTTGAAAATACTGACAAAAATGTTGAAGTCTCA